AGAAGGAGAGAGGAAAAAAATCAATATGTGAGAGATACATTGATGTGCGAGAGCTACATTAGTCAGCTGCCTCTAACTCACCCCTAAGTAGGGACCTGGCCCAGAACCTAGGCATGTGCCCTGACTGGGTATCGAACCAGTGACTTTTCAGTTTGCAGGCCACACTCAGTCCACTGAGCCACACCAGCCAGGGTGATATCCCTTTCCTTCTTGTAGAACACAGTCTTTGTTTTGAGGACTCGACTCTATACCTTTTCTTTTCTGGCCCACCTCCAATCCTAAGAGACTAGGGGAAAAAGTAGCCTAACACAAAAGTCAGAAAACTTTTTCTTTAAATAGTCAGTGAGTAAGTTTTTTAAGCTTTGTGAGTTACATGTCTCTGTCACAAATACTCAGTCCTGCCCTTGTAGTGCAAAATCAGTCATAGACAACATGTAAATAAATGAATGTGGCTGTGTCACAAAATATTATTTTTCTTTTGCTATTTACCAACTATGTAAAACTGTACAGGTTATTCTAATTTTGTGGGCCATACAAAAACAGGTGGCAACCTAAAACTATAAAACTCCTAGAGGAAAACAAGGAAAAGCTTCATGACATTGAACTAGGCAATGATCTTGGATGTGACACCAAAACACAGCAAGAATAGACAAATGGGACTATATCAAACTTAAAAACTTTCTGCATTCAAAGGACATAGTCAACCTAGTACAAAGGTAACCTACAGAATAGAAGAAAATATTTGTAAATCATATATCTGATAAGGCGTTAATGTCCAGAACATATAAAGAATCCTACAGCTGAACAACAACAACAACAAAAAGAATGGGTAAAGGACTTGACCAGACATTTCTCCAAAGATTATATGCAAATGTTCAACAAGTATAAGGAAAAATGTTCAACATCTCTAATCATCAGAGAAATGCAAATCAAAACCACAATGTGAGGTTATCACCTCACAACCATAAGGAAGGAAAAAAACCCAGAAAATCACAACTGTTGTCAAGAATGTTGAGAAATTTGAACACTTGTGTGGCATTGGTAGGATTGTAAAATGATGTGGCCACTACGGAAACTGTATGGAGGTTTCTCAAAAAATTGAAGTAGAATTCACACATGATCCAGAAATCTCACTTCTGGGTACACATCCAAGAGAACTGAAAGCAGATATTTGGATGCCTATGTTCGTAGCAGCACTATTCACAATAGCTAAGAGGTAGAAGCAACCCACATGTGCTCACCAATGGATGAATGGATAAATAAGTGTGGTATATACATACGATGAAATATTATTCAGTCTTAAAAAGGAAGGAAATCCTGTCACATGCTAAAACATGGATAAACCTTGAGGACATTATGCTAAGGAAAATAAGCCAATCACAAAAAGATGAATACTGGATGACCACCATTCTATTTATCCGAGGTATTTAAATAGTCAAATCCACATAAACAGAAAATAGAATGGTGGTTACCAGAGACTTAGGCATAGGAGGAAAACATGAGTGGTCTTGGGCAGAATAGATAGTAAACCAAAGCAGGGGTGGGGAGGGAGACAGGTCTCACCCATTAATTCAGCAGTTCTGAGCCAGGTCAGGTAAGACTGACAGTTGTTCCAAAAATCACGAGTAAAAACATGATAGCATAGGAGGAGGGAAGACTTTGAAATTCTGTGTGTATCATTTCCACTATCCAGGAAAGAAAGCCTGTAAAACTGTATAGCTCAGGTTTCCCTGGCAACACAGAATTTCAGATTTCCAAAATGAAAAATCCTGGAGATCTGTTTCCCAGCAACATTGATATACTTACCACTACTGAACTGTACACTTAAAAATGGTTAAGATGTTAAATTTTGTTATTTGTTACCCTAATAAAAATATTGCTATAATATGCATATTGAGGACTTTGGATTATTCTAGAAGACAGTTTGAAATAACAAAAGAAAAACACTAGGTAGTGGGCCAGATCTGGACCTCAGGCCAAACTTTGCTGACCCTCAGCCTAGCACAATCCAAGTACCCTTGTAATCAGCACCCTGTCTTTACATATTTTCCCCTAAATCCTTTTTTTTGTAAAGTCTCCAAATGTTACAACTGCAAGTAGCCGCAGCAACTTAAGAATCATTTTGGAGGGTAGGAGTTGGGGAACTGTGAGGTGAAAACAGTATTTTCCAAGGTCAAAGACTTCTGCAGTGGAAAATGCAGGGCACCGAATAAAATTTAGCTTCTCAAGATTCCTTCTATTACTATTTGGAGTTTTCTACAGATTCTTAATGATCAGAAAAGTAATCTTTGATTAAATTAGAGGTGAATACAGTATTTAACCGAATTCCACAGATGCTGCTGTAAAGAGAAATTGAATTAAAGTCATCTAGTAACAAGTTGTATAGTCTTTTAGTGCTCTGGCCCCTTAAGCCTGGAACCATGAAAACAATACTGACTGCAGAACTCACTTTACAGATGAGAGCTAGTTGGTTATCACTGTTTTAACTGTGGTTTCCCAGGAGATTAAGTAGCATCTAATATTCTGTGAAGTATGAAAACAATTTAATTTAATTCTATATCTCCAGGAAAAAAGTTACATTGGCCACCAGTCACTTTTAAGGAATTATGTAAATATGCTCTTCTTCTTTACAGCATTAATTAACATTTTAAAATTAAGCAACAACTTAAAAGACAAATAGTTACCATTGTCTGCTGAGTTCCTGACTTCCTAGGGTTCATAAAAGGGAAGGACAAATAAAACTCAGTTCAGCAGGTCAGGATCTAAAATTAAACCACAAGTAAAATGCAGAGCATGCAATGTTCATTTTGTTCTGTACTCTGAAGCAGGGCAATCCAGAGGTTTTGCCTGGAGTGATATAATTATACTAAACGCTTCTTTTCATTGTCAAGAAAAAAAAAACCCCAATCATTAAACTTTTAGAAGTCAGGTTGCGTAGAGATTCCAATATAATCTATCAAGTTTATGTATTCCAGGAGATAATAAAGCATAACCATTACTATTTAATTCAACTTCAATTATAATCTCAATGTGGTGTTGCAAGCCTACTCTTTCCTCCTAGACTTTCCTGCTATACAGAGATGTGCTATCTAGAGCAGCTGCACTTAATATAAAACACCCTGTGAATTAGTCTATTCAGAATATGTGAGTATGATGTGTAAAGAAAATAGTAGTTACCTAGTGAACACTTCAAATTGCTACTTAAGCATAATAAGCAAATGTAATATATGACCATTGACAGTATCCGAGTGAAAACAAAACAAAATAAAAACCAACCAAACAAAAAATCTCCTAGCTACTCCCAGTTATAAAAGATATTCTTGGGACAATCATAGAAACTTGAATGTGTACTGAACATTAAATATCAGAAAATTGTTTTCATAAGTGTGATAATAGTATTGTGATTCTGAAGCAAATGTCCTTATTCTTAGGAGAGGCACTCTGAAGTACTTAGAGATGATGTATTTTGATGTCTGCAACATATTCAAATGGTATACAAAAAGACATATCTATTTTCTGTATTTTTGAAATTTTTCATAATAAAAAATTGGGGTGAGGGGGACAAAGCTCATCTTTTTAAAGTTTCTTAGCCAAGTAACATCATACCCTTTGGGTTATAGCACTTTTTTTTCCTCCTGTTGGCACTGCAGATACTGTTCAGCAGGTGCGGCCTCTGCCCCACCCAGGCACTCCAGTTCTTAATCACACTTAGGTAAATAAGATTCAGCACCAACTACAAGCTAGCCTGAAGGGGAAAGATTCACACCAAGCATAATCATTTTTACATTTCTACAGTATTGCACAGTTACGTTCACTTTCAAATTGCAAATTACTTTGGTTTGCCTTTTTCAGTAGTCCTGTCTGCATTTGGTGACCTGTGTTTCTTTTTGCCAATAGACAGACCTGAGCCCCAGATAAAGGGCATTTCTTTCTGGCTGGTAGTCACACACCAGATGACTATAGAGGAATCTTTTTGCCCATCCAGACATTGTTGAATTCTATTTCAGTCTGTCTATAATTAAATTATTTCTTGAAATATCTAATCTCATCCTGCAGTTAAAAAAGAAATCCTAGAGGCTATACGGGAGATAAATGATGATGATGGGGGGAGGGGGGAGCTTGAAAAAAAAAGAAAAGAAAATCCCAGAAGAAGGCAAGAACCACAATTTTATACTCATCACTATGCTGAAAATTTTTTTGAAGCAAATTTAATGAGAACCATGGGTACCAGGTTATGAAATCATTGTGAAAGGTAATGAACACATTGACAAGGCAGTGCTGCCATTAATATTCAATACCTACTGTAAAGTTCAAATTAGTTTAGTTTCTTAGCTACCAGGCTCATGGTGCCATAGGTTGTAAGTATGCTGCTACCAGGTCTTGTCTACTATGACTGCCCAAGCTGTAAGAGGCCACCATGATCTCACTTAGTTTTAGCAATTATTGCTGGTGAGCACTGAAAGCTAGCTTCTGATTTAGGGCTGTGTAACTAATTTGGACTCCAGGACTTCAGCAGAAATGTCCTGCAGGGAAGGGACAAGTCCACGGAAGCACAGGCGCGCGCAGCCGGGTGCTTCCTTAACCAAGATGGCCGCCCTTGCGGATCGCGCGGTAGGAGTCCGCAGGGGCGGCCATCTTGGTAAAGGCCGGAGTGGCTGCCAGCCCGGTGCTGACGCCAGCAGGACCAGATTTGAAGGTCACAATAAGTGAGTGATCGGCAGTGTGGAGTGAACTTAGCTGGGGCCCGAGGTGCGGGGTGAGTCGGGGGCCCAGCAATGGCCGGCTCCTAGAATGGTGAGGCGGCGAGCGCTGAGGAGCTGCCTGCAGCTACTGGCGCCCTCGGAGGAGCCGGGGCCAGGGAGCAGGGGGCGGAGGGACCCAGGCACCTGCTGCTACAGCCACTCCCGCTGCTGCGTGGGGGCGCTGTCGCTGGGAGCCAAGGAGCAGCAAAGGAAGCGGAGCCGGCGCGCGCGCCCGGCAGTCTCCAACGCTAGGTGAGCCCGTGGGTCCCGCTCCCAGCCTCCGGATCCAGGCGCAGACTCTGGGGTCTCGCGCCAGGTGGCTTCCTCTCTCCAGCTGCTCCCTTTCAGCTCTGCTGCTTTCTCTTTGGTTGCCCCGTGGGATTTCGGCCTGAGGTCGTTTGGACTCAGCTGAGTAGAGCGTGCTTTGGGTGGGATTCCGGTCCTGAGTCCTGCCTCCTGGTGGAGATGTTGCACTTATGAGAGGCAGGGCTCCTTTTGAATTTCTGCACCTCGGGAGTTGTGAAGCCCGCGTCTGAAACTGCCTGGGTGAGGAGCCACATTATTATTATTATTATTATTATTATTATTATTATTATTATTATTATTATTATTATTATTTCCCTTGGGAGAGAAACCGTCTGGGATTTTAGATCCCATCTTCTTTGCAAATCATAGGTTGCATCTTCACTGGCCTGAATCCTCGTGGGCGTATGGTCTTTTGGTTGTATGTAAATGAATGGGTTTCTGAGAACAACTTATTTTTGCGTCATCTATAGTATTTATCTTCTAAAAATCCATTTTAACAGGTTTCTCCCCTTTTAGCTTGAAAGTTAACCAAGGAATGGGAATGAAGAGCAAAAGGTGGGGCGGGTGACAGAAGACGGTGCTTTCTTGAGTTTTCTGTACTGTGGTCGGTTGGTTGTTAAATTGAGTATTGTGGCAGGCTTTTCAGACCTTGTACTCAAATAGCTGTCCCTTCCCCACCCCTCTTGAATAGAATTCTCTAGGGTTCTGGTAGTTGAGATAAATACAGTTCCATGGACTCTAGAGCCTGATGCATCATGCCTCAGTTGAACCTGGAAAATATGTATTAAGAAAATGAGAAAAGTTATGTGTTAGAACATCATTTAGTTCTTGTATTTGCCTTAGCTGCAGGTTGTTCTGTATATGTTATATATAATATGACTCACCTGGTTTTATTCTGGCTTAACATGTAGTGTTTGATAATTTTGATTAATTTATTGAGAAAGTTGTTCTTGATAGACAACTGTTTGAAAAGTAAGAATATTTCCATTTTTATTTAAAAGGGATATCTAGCAGTGCCATTTCTGTTTTCACTTACATCGTTTTGATTTCGCCTCAGACATCAACGTCTTTTAGAAAGAAATTATGTAATCTTCTAAAAGAAAAGGTTACTTGAATCCCACAGTAGTCTGATTTTGTTGCAACAAAAAATACTAGGTCTATTAGAGAAAAGTTAGGGTGAGTGTACTTGTTTGTAGTAAGAATTTAAAAGAGAGACTTACCTCAATTAAAACTGTTTTAAACAAATTAGAATATAGTTACAATTTTCAAAGATTTTATTTCATTACATGTACAGGCTTTCCTGCTGCAAGAATTGTGGTTAAGTCTCCAAGAGATGAAAATAATTTAGTGTATTTCTCATACCCTTATTTCACTGACCATTCCAAATGATATTGTATAGACTTTGTATTGCAAAATTTAACTTTACAATTAGTCTACTTATAAATGTGTGAAGGACATTTTAATATAAGCATTTCATCAAAGGGTTTTGGTTGTACTTTAGTTGATATAGTCATCATTATGTTTGAAAAGGATATTTTTGTTACTTTGGGTATTTGTCAGTTTGGGAAACGGGGGATTTTTAAGAACATTTTGTCAATGTTTGGAAAAGTGCTGTTTGCATTTAATTTTGTTGTTTCATCCTGCATTTTCTTTGTAGCAGTAAATAACTATGGATAATAGTGATTTTTTTGTTTTATTTCATTTCACTCTTTTTATATGTATTATAATATGGCTGTAGCTGGAGGGACTGTATTGATCTGTGAATTTTAGATTGAAATGTATGCAAGTAAAAAGTGTTTTCATTGAAGTATTGGAGAAATGAACTTGCACTTGCAAATGGTTAATGGTTAACAAATGACTTTATCTTGAAGGCCTGTGCGGGCGTGTATGAAATTGGCATTAAAGGATCACCTACAGCCCTGGCCCTGTAGCTCACTTGGCTGGAGCATCGTTCTGTGCACAAAAAGATTGCGGGTTCGATCCCTGGGGTGTATATGGGAGGCAACTGAGTGATGTTTCTCTCTCTGGTTCCCTTTCTGTCTCTCTAAAGTCAATTAATATATATCCTTGGGTGAGGATTAAAAAAAAAAAGGGATCACCTATGTGATTTCCAGCATGAAGTTCATGTAATACACCATTCTAACTGCCGTGAAACTAAAGGATTGTACCTATCTATAATTTATAGTGCTTTACTTGACTTGTCTTTTTAATTTGATAACTATTTATTATGTATTTAAATATTGTTTTACAGACTTTTGTGCATCATATATGAGCTCATATATCCTTAGGAGGCAGTTTTTTTATGTCAGAGATATATTCTTTTGCCAAGTCAGCAGTTTAAATAATGTACTGCATTATAACTTTATAATTTACAAAGTTCTTTCAAGTATTTTTAAGTACGTTTATTTTTAGTTTGATTTTATAGACATACGATATGTGAGATTATTAACCCCATTCCACAGATGAGAAAAACAGGAAACTGAGAGCCTGTGAGGTTTCAGTGATTTGTCCAAGGTCCCTTAGCCCAGCAGCCCCAGCCTTCGGCAGAATATATGTGTTGGGGACTGCCCTGCCTGGTATCAGAAGCTGTAACCCCCCATGGCTAAGGCCGAGTGAGAGACCTTGGGTCCATAAGCCACTGAGGAGACAAAGCTTATCTCTCTGGCAGGGGCACCACCTCTGCCCCCTTTACTTCACCCTGCTTGGCCCAGAGTGGGTGACTGGTTCGCCAATGACATGTAAGATTCCTCAAGGGAGGGATGACGTAAAACAGGCATGGTCGTGAAGGGGCCCTCAGGGAAGGACTTGGGGGGCTATATAGAAAAAGGGGGTGATGGACCCTCACCCTTTGGCTTTAACATAGCCTGAGTCCTCATTCTGTCTGCAAGAAGTCTCCTATCTCTTGGCTGCCTCACTTCTCCTGCTTGACTTAAGCCTGAAACGATGCCAGAGGTGGATGCATGCAGCCCTGTGCTGGAAAGGCCAGGTTCCCTGGGGCAATTGGACCTAAGACAGAATGCATAAAATCTAGTCAAACCTGCTTTGCTAAGAATGTCCTCAGTTTTCTGATAAGGGTCCAAACAAAATGAATTAGTTTCCCCTAAGTTTTATGGTCCTTTAGCTATTTGACCCTGATTCAGAATAAGCCCGCAGAGTTCTTTGTGTGTTATTTATTGTTTGATCCTTATTGCCTGACAGTGATTGGTGAGCTTCACCTGTATTCCCGTGCAAATTGAACCCAATAAGAGCCCAGTGAGGAAACGCTCCTGGCCCTTCTTTGAGAGTTTGGCCACCTTTCCTCCCCAAGCAGATCATGTCTTGGTGGACTTATTCTCACCTTCAGTGGATGGTGGGCTCTGTGGTCAAAGCTCCCGCACAGTGTACGCTGCTGCCTCTTCTTGGAAAGGGTTACCAGTGTAGTGGAGGGATGGTAATTGGGATCAACAAGACTTAGTCTGCAACACAGTCACAGATTGTGCACAGTTGTAAATTTTGGTTATGGAGGCACAGGGCTGGCATATCAATAGATCAGCATAAATTCAAAAGCATGATTAAAAAACAACAGTGTTGACCTGTAAGGGGAAAATACAGATTTCCCCTTGAAGGCAGCAGATTTTTGTTTGAACAGTAAATGCCTATAGACTTCTGTGCTCTTTTATAATCTGTTTCAGTTATAAGAATCAAGTTATCAGAATAAACACTAAGCTTTGTCATTGTTATTAGCCCTCCTTAAACTACAGACTTGTTGGTTTTGCTTACAAGAACCAATGCAAAGACAACTGGACAAGAGTAATAATTTATTCTAAATTCAAATTTATAATTTGTTTTCTGAATTTTGAAGGTCCTTCAAACCACAAAGATGTTTGCCATCCTTTCAAGTTACTGTGATCATTTCTTTGCCTTTCAGAGTTCATGAAAACAAATACTATATATATTCAGAATATTGTGCAATTTTATGGTTGAAGGAACTAATGACAGCCTAAAGAATTTGTGGTCCCAAAGCCCTTTCTTTAACTTGAGGCCAGTTTATCTGTTTATGATCTAAATTAAGTAAAATACCCCACAGGAGGTGAAATGTGTTATTTATCTTTCCATGCTACCATATACTGCTTTGGTCTAAGTGTTTCTAAGAATACTGAGAATGAAAGCATGGCTAATAAGCAGCCCAGCCTCCATCACCAGCCAGAGCTGGACCCTTGGGATGGCGTAAATCTGACCTTACTTACCTGCATCTGTAAAAGAGTCAGACAGAGTCATGGAATGTTCAAGTTGGAAAGGACCTTTGAGAGTGTGTGCCTAGTCCAAGCTCTAAACTTAGAGATTTCCAGTTTCTACTCTTACAAGAGTTTTTAACCTGTTGTGATACTACAAAACTGAAACATCAGAATTAGAGTTTTCCACCATGTCACAGAGATGAGATACTTTAAAATCTTGGATGAAATTTGATTCCTTTCTCATTCTTTCCTTATATAGTTTCTCAATTTTATATGTAGACGAAACGTCCAGTATGTGTAAAGTGTGTGTGCTGTTCAGAGCCCATTTTTTAAAAACTGGCTGCACATCTGAATATCGTTTCAGTGACAGATCTGACAAACTGTTGATGTTCTCAGCAACGTTCTCTTGGTGAAGTATAATCATACAGAGCTTTGTAATTTCTTTTTGCTAGCTGCTCACATATTTTAAAATCCTATTTTATAATATGCTTACCTCCAATTTAGTACTATATGCTGTCTACATTTTAATGCATTTTATTGAAGACATAACTATGCATGTATATGCTATACCCTGAGGCTGGAGAGTGGTAAATTCTCCAGGTTTTCCTGGGACTGAAGGGGCTCCCAGGGTGCAGGACTTTCAGTGCTAAAACTGGGAAAGCCCTGGGCACACTAGGTGTGTAGGTTCCCCCTACCAGAGGGTGTTTCTTCATGGGACTTGATTTAGTAATTCTTCCCATTTGGAAGGATAAAATGACAGGTGTACTTAGACATCTTCTCAAGGAAAGGAAAACATCTTCAAGGCCCCATGTATTTTTTCTATTTATCTGATCGAAATATAGAAGTAATTTTTATTTGTTGTTGTTTCCTTTCTATATAACTGAGAACAATTTACATTTAAATAGAATAGATACACCATTTAAAATCTTCTTGGAAAGTTATAAGTGCAGTTATATTTATAAGGAAACTAGTATTTATTGTTTACTAAGTGCTTTTTACTTTGAAAAGGAAAACAAAAGACCCTGT